ACAGCGATTTTTTAAGCTAAAATCGCACTTTTCACTTTCAAGTGCTCCCAAAAATAGACAAAAATAAATTAAAAAAAACTCTTCCTGATTACCTCGGGAAATTCATTATCTTTACAACGCATATCACATTTTATTTTTAAGATGATCCGTTAACGCCCTATGATGTTCACCGCAAAACAACTTTTTCTTTAGGCGCTTCGGAAGATTAACCGCCACAGACTTATTTCCTAATATTTTTTAATAATTTTTTTTCTAATACTCTACAAAAGTTAAACAATAACATGTAATTAAGCTCAATAAAATAAACTTACTTATTTCGCCGCAAAAAAAAATCAAACATGGCCCTGTTTTTGGCCTTTAAAACCTTACCCCCCTTAAAAAGTACTGTTATATGACAATGAGTATTAATTGTTCCGCAATGTTTGGTTTTTACCCAAAGCTGCCCTTCAGGACTCGCTCCCATATTGTTCCCCTTTCAAAATATGTTTGTGCAATATTACATGTTACGCCTTGTATGTGCTTGCTGCAATAATTGCAACAAGTATTTTTCTTAAGCACACAAGGGCTAACGTTTTGAGAAAAAATCGTCTGCGTACATCCTCTTACTTTGAAAACCCGAGCGCACTGAGCCATAGGGGAAAAATCCCGAACAATTCTGCAGCTGCTGAGACTACCTGGCACTATGTTGAATTTGACCCGTTTTTGTGGCCAAAACTCATTTTTCGCGAGTATGCAAATTTTCGTTTTTTTAATGTTATCATGTTGAGAAATGATCAAATTGCGATATTGTATACCTTAAATGTTAACTTAACAGTTTAATGTTAAAAAAAACAGCTGTTAAAGTCAGCTGTTGCAAGCGGACACCACGTGCTGTGTTGATTGGTAAATTTGCAGTGCAATTTCAAATTGGCATATCTCTGAAAAAGAAACATAAAATAACAAAATTCAAAATGAATATGAATTCTTCAGGTTAGTACTATGTGTTGATACTAATATGTTGCGTGTTTTGTTCGTATTTTTCTAAAAATTTGTATATTTAGCAAGTGTTGTCCCCTCGTCACTTTAGGAAAGAAAGTTGAACTTTCCAAAAGGTTTTAAAAAAAGGTTCAAATTGTATCAGTGAGTGTCCATATACATGTTGTAGATTTATCAATTCTGAATTCAAAATATATAAGCTCAATATGCGTTTTTTGCTGTTTTCAGCGTAATTTGAATTATTAGGGAGCAACATCTTGATCAGCAATGCAGAACTGCTAGAAGTGTGGCGTAAGCAAGGGAGTTTTTGCGAGAAACGAAATGCCGTATACACTTTCTTAACAAAAAATATTGAAGACGGCGTTTTGGAAAAAAATGTTCATTATTTAAACGAGAAAGCCAAAACATTTTCTGCAAATTTATGGCGAAATTGGCAAAAAATGCTTTAGGAAGTTGGAGACGTTTAAAAACAGATATTCGAATTGGATGAAAGGTTACATGAGCCTTACTTTAACTAGAGAAGAAGCCAAAGGAAAGGAAACAAAAAGACCAGTGGGACGTCCAAAAATGGCATTCAATATAAAAGGTAATAGAGCTCAAAGAAGGCAAGCAGCCGACCTCTTCGCGGGACAAAAACATAACGCAAGATTGCTGACTCAAGCGGCAAGCATAGCTGCTCGTAGGCGCGGGCTTGTTGATCTTGCTGTCCTATTAAGATTACTTGCGTTAAACCCTGGAAAAGCCGTCCCTATTCGCAAAATGATAAGGAAGCCCGTGGTAAAGCCTTTGCGATCTTCCGCTGAAGAGGCGTTGGCTTTGATTTTGGATCAAGGTTTCACAACTGACCAATATTGCGCAATTCGAGAGGATGCAAAATGCAGGAAAGCCAATATATATCCCAATTGTAAGTGAAAAGAAAAAAGACTGCCGACCAGACAATATTGTTGTAACGGACACCGTTGCAAAAAGTTCTTTGCAAGATCTATTGAACCACACAACAAGTCGAATAGTGGATTATCAAAAAGAGGCTATAGCAACGGCACTGAACATGCAGCAGTCTGACTTTTTATCTGCCGAATTGATAAGTAGTTATGGCTTTGATGGCAGCACGGGACAAGCTAACTATAATCAGGCTTACACTAACGGCCAGTCCCAAGATGCAGACTCTTCACTTTTTGCCACGACAGTTATGCCTCTTCGTCTGATCGATTCGTCCTGCAATATATTGTGGAACAACCAAACTCCGCAGAGTATACGGTTTTGCAGACCTTTAAAGCTGCAGTTTCTTAAAGAATCCACAAAAGTTATCGAAGATGAGAACATACGTATGAAAAGGGAAATAAGTGCTTTAAATTTTATTAAAATAAATCTTAATAAAAGGCAATGCGTATATGTGAGGTTTAGCTTGTATTTGACTGTGATTGATGGCAAAGTGCTAAATGCCCTTACAAATACAAAATCTTACCAAGCTTGCCCAATCTGCAATGCGACACCTAAAGATTTTCTTGGAAACAAAAACTTTAAGAGCATGCAATTCGTTCCCATTATCCACAATGTGAAACACGGGTTAAGTCCACTACATTGTTGAATTAGGTTTTTCGAATTCGTCCTTCATGCTGGATATAAAATGGATGTGAAGAAATGGCGAATATCTATCCAAGAGGATAAAAGCATTGTGTTGGAAAAAAAAAACATTCAGCGATAATATTGGAAAACACTGTTCTTCCAGTGGGTTATTTTGGTGAAGAAGCAGCTGAATCAAGGAATAAAATATATAAATCCGACAGACTCCACCATGCAAGGAAAAACAGCCGAATAAATAATCTTACAGATGTTTTCCACAGAGCAATGGATACTTCCGACCCCATAATTTCATCTTTAAATTTGAAAAGGCGGATCCAAAAGCACAAGAGACTTGCTTTGCCATCAGAAGTCATCCAGCTGTTGGCTTGTGAAATTGAATCTCCAGATGAGTTGAGATGAGTTGACACGCCCACTTTTCTAAAATACGTTCCTATAGTAATAACCTTCATTATACAAGAAACCTGCATTCAAAAATCTTGTTAATTTCAAAAATTTTAATTTTGGCCACAAAAACGGGTCAAATTCAACATAGTGCATGGACGAGACCTTGTCTAATTGTACCATGATTATACCATGGTCGTATCACGCACAGTGTCATAGAGCGAAAGGTGACAGATAGCTATAGTGAGAAAGATTGAACGAAAGAGAGAATAAGGGATATTGAGAAATAATACACGCTATATTGGTTTGTGTATTCGTTTACTAGTTAATTATTAGAACTTTAGATGGCAAATCTGTCGCATAACATCATTTGCAGTAAACGCAGATTTATCAGCTATTTACAATATTATTAACACCTACCATATGCAGTGTATACACAGTGAGTTTAATTTTTAAATAAACTTTATGAATAATATTTTGTGATAAATTTTAAAGTCGTCCTGTACTAAGCAGTTACTCGAAGTAAATAATATATCTGTTATCTTTTTGTTTAGTTACAATTTTTAGGCTAATTGGTTAGAAGGTTAGGTAGTTTTAATATTTACAAATAACATGTTGCATTTCAACTTACCACTCGTCAATTAATAATTTAATAAATCGTTTTCTATAAAATATAAATATTTGATGAATTCGCTCTTCTAAATTTTAAGTTCAGAAACAAAATTTATTAAACTTTTAATATTTGAATGACAATTAAAATCCTAACATATTTTCCTTTTTCCCTTTTGTTGAGTTAGCGAGCTTTTTCACTAAATAATTTTTGGCAAGAGAACACAAAGAGTTGGTTTTATAAATTTTATTTAGTTAACTCCAATGGCAATTATAACAAAGTATTTTTAAGCGTTATACATAGTTCAGTTTATTTCAAATTCACTTATGTTTGTTAAATACAATTGTTTATTTATTAGCGGCACGAGGGCGATTCACAATAGTGTTTAGTTATTATGTTAAGAGAATAAAAAAGGGTGTTATTTTAGACAGACAGACAGACAGACGGACAGACGTACAAACGTATTTCGATTCAGATCGTGATGCTAATTAAGAATAACATATATATACTTTATTGGGTCTAAGGTGTCTCCTTCACTGCGTTGCAAACTTCTGACTTAAATTATAATACCCTTTGCTCTGCAAGCGTATACAAATTAAGCTAGAACATGTTTCAAAATATTTTTGATTAAGTATTTCAAGATCGTTTAAAGGAAAGACAAAAAAATAAGATTCTATTTTTTCAAGGAAAAAAATTTGCTTTTTAAGACGTAACTGGCGCTCGTAAGCATAAAGTTTCCACATACGTGCCCTCCATCAGCGATGGCGGGAGGCTAAAAAGGACAAATTGAAATAACTAAAATTTTGTAGTGGCGCCTAATCTTGAAAACCTGTTTGAGTTTTTGTATTTTGACCTGCTACGACGTGGGGCAGAAACATGTTTAATCTAAACACATTCCCTCTGGCCTTCCGAACGTTAAGTTCTGTGGGCATGTGGTAGCCTTCTATCATTATTACATGGAAATCAATATTTATTTGTGGATAATGGTATCCCAGTTTGCTTCGTTCCAGGTAAGCCTGCGACCCATTCTCTTCCTGTACTTCCTGTCCTGGCTTGGTCCGCCCCTCCCCTTTGATGTTTTGGGACGCGCTGACCGAACGCGGGGAAGGAGAGCATCGAATGGGCTTGTGCGATGCGATGGAGCTAATGGTAAATTGAATATCCTGGATGTCCCGTTCATCCCTTAAACAAATTTGGTCAATAAATTTTCACAAATATTGAGGTTGACAAGAGTCTCTGTCATCGCCCTCAGTCGCGCATTTACTCCACTACCAATACAAATGGGGCATTAGGGCACACCTTCGCAGCTCAGAATCCGTGCTTAAGGATTATACTCGTACATTTCATTTTAACCTGCTGGCACTAGCTCTGCTTAGCTACTTTTAGTTTCGGTCCAGGCAATAGCCTTCGAATTTAATGTGCTCCCAACCAATAAACTGAGAATGGGTAGTTTAATGTGGGCCTGTAGGTTTATTTCTGTATTCTGTGGATTGCCGTGGAATTGTTTCTCGGCATTGTTTCCTTTTGAAAATCAATATTTTTTGGTTAAAAAAAATGTTATACAAGGAGTCAGTAGTTGGCCATCACTGTGAACTTGTAAAAAGTAATGCCTTCCGGATTGATTCTTGTGATAAACCTATCTTTCGGCTTGAACAAGCCTAAATTTTCTGTACTGTTGAACAAGTCCTATAAATGCTTGTTTACGTTATCAATGGTTTCTTAAATTGAATCGAACATACCATGACATTATAGCCCATGCGACTCTTAAGGCCGAGTCTGTGCAAAGGTACCTCGAATTTCTGAGGGCATAAAGGACATAAGGCATATCCCCCTTGGTTGACGAATGCTACTGCAAATGAGTTGTCGCCAACGTCGTTCATTGGATTTACGGATCGAACCCAGACCTACGAGCCAATCTTTATTTAATGCACAAGATGAGTTAAATTGTATGTTTCACCTGAAAGTTTTGCACCTTTAGAACCATCTTTCCAGGCTGCCCGAGCGAGTCCTGGTCAATCGCAATTATATCCCGGTTTTGAAGTAGTTGTTTTATTTCCGGACGAACAGTTTCCAAGTCGTTGGTCATAATCAATGGTGCGCCCATTACCGCCCATATTGCCAGCTGCACCCGGCTAGCGTCGTAACTTAGACGAAAGTTTCCCAGGACGAGCTGAGGGAATGGATACAAAACAGACCATAAGATGTTCCATACCGTAGGATGATTTGTTCACCATGTCTGGGTCATTCCAGCGACCAGGGCCGGCATTCGCAATTAGAACGTCCTGTTTATTGGAGTAGCGCGACATTATCTTTATCACCGATGCAAAGGAGTCCTGCACATCCGCTGCGAACCTCCAAAGGTTGCAGTGCTTCGCGATCAAAGCATAGTCTGGCTAAGAGAAAAAGCAGGCTAGTACTTTGAGGGACAGAAAACTGAAAACATACCTTTGACTTGTAAAAGGGCCAACTGCAGGAGTACACCATGGGCTTGCCCGTCAGGTTCATGGCCATTCCAAAGTCGGGGTATCCCCTGTCTATATCTTCTTCAGTGGCGTAGCAGCCGTCCATCTTGACATAGTCGACGCCCCAGCTCGCAAATGTCTGCGCATCCAGTTCAAAATGCCTGGCAGCTCCGGGTCCCCGAAACATGCAGGTCTTCTCTCCCACATCATGATAAAGTCCGAATTTGAGCCCGTTGTAATGAATCTGTACAAAAGCAAAGTGAGCTCCTCATTGACTTTCCAGGGGGCGAAACGTCTACCCACGTAATCGCCAAGCACACGCATTCCACTGGGAAAACGATTCAAATTGGGCTGAAGCTCGTGAGTGGCTCGGTCCCGAGAGGCCTCCATCCAACAGTCGTCGATAATCAAGTATTGATATCCCACAGCAGCGTAACCCTCGGATACCAGGAGGTCGGCAGTACGCCTGATTAGCGCTTCACTATCAATTAAAAAAGATAAGAAAAGACGACTCAAGGCTCCGAAAATCATCCACCTGATGCAGTCTCTGGGGAACAGTTCACAGTTCGTCATGCAACGAAACCTCTCAAACGTCATCCAGCCCATTGGAGGAACCAACGCCAGACCGTTCTCTAATCCATGAACAGATTGAAAGGCCCCGCAACTCAAAAACAGAATCAAAACTATTTCCAAATGCGATTTGGGGACCAACATCTCGAGTTAAACGCGTCAAGAAGCGCTATGACGCTGGTGTGAAATTGATTTAATTGGCACGAGGCTGGCGTATCTAATTTTTTTAAAAAGTAAATAAAGTAATAAATGCTTATGCTTTTGTTTAGACAAATATTTTCGTAGAAATTTTGTTACCCCTAAAGTTTTATTTTTGAAAAGCTTTGAAAAGTATAACTCAACGATGCTATGATTAAAGCATTCGTAAATCCCAAATACATTATTAATCTGGAGATTTTGATACAAATCAGACTAACCTAAGCTAGTCGCGCAATTAAATGCAAGTCTAATATAAAGTTTAAAGTTTGAACACATACTCTGCATTTCTAAAATTTAATTTAATTATACCGACTTTGTTGCCGAGAAAGACGGTTCTTTCAGCCTTCATTTATAGCAACCACAAAAACGAGAAAGGAAGCTAGCTTCTTTAATTATTATTATTATAATTTTATCCAGAAGCTTACAACGCAGTGAAGGAGACACCTCAGACCCCATAAAGTATATATATTCTTGATCAGCACCACGAGCAGAATCAGAATACGCATGTACGTCTGTCCGTCTGTCCTCCTGTCCGTTTCTACGCAAACTAGTCTCTCAGTTTTAAAGCTATCTTGCTGAAACATTTCATAATTGCACGCCGTAGGAATCGAAAAAAAAATTTTATTAAGGCAGACTCACCTTGTGGGAAAAAAAATCGATTCTTATATATGCTCAAAAAATGTGCTCAAAAACTTTATTATCCAAAAATATTGAAAACTGTTTATTTGAGAAAATAATTAGTGAAAAAAACTCGAAAATCGTAATTTTTTTCAAAAGCTAAAAACTTTTGCAATTTTATTTTATTTTTCTGATCCTAGTTCATTTTATGCACAGTACTATACACTTTGAGAATCTTTTTGGTTTTTGTGTTTCTGATTATCCATTTTGGTTGAATCACTTCCGTAAGCAGGATACCTCCTCGCCGACATGCCGCCACTGAGGAACGCCCTCTCCCGCCCCTTATTTTTATTTTTTCAATTTCATAATTTTTTTTTCGCAAAATAAATGTGTTTCAAATACAGAAACAAATTTCCACTTTTTATCTTAAACCGTTTTCTCAAAAAAAAATTTTTTTTAAGTGCCAGTTTTCGGCTTCACAAGGTGAGAACCTGCCTTAAAAACCGACAACGTTATCATATAGCTGCCATAGGAAAGATCGAAAAATCTATATAGAATTAACGGAAATAAAATGATAACATCTTTATTTCTCATCAGAAAATCATGATTTTTGGAATATAAAGTTTTCTAACGACTCTTGAATAACAAATCAAATTTCATCAAAATCGGTCAACTATATCATATAGCTGCCATATGAACAATAGTCAAAAATATGGAAAATTAAAAGAAATGTTGTTTAGCCTTTGTGTATTCTGTTCGAAATATTTGCGGACTGCAAGGTTTCTTTCTTGTTTTTGAACTTTCCAATAGCAGCTAAATGATATCCGAATTTGAAAAAAAAAGTTTTAGCAAGATAGCTTTAAAACTGAGAGCCTAGTTTCCGTAAACACAGACAGGAGGACAGATGAACAGACGGACAGACGTACAGACGTGTTTCAATTCAGGTCGTGATGCTGATTCAGAATATATATACTTTATGGGGTCTGAGGGGTCTCCTTCACTGCGTTGCAAACTTCTGACTAAAATCATAATACCCTTTGCTCTGCAAGGGCAAAGCAGACCTAGGACGACTTGTTTGTTTTCCCCTTAAGATATGCAAAACTCGACAGAAGGTCGCCGCCGCAACTCTGGAAAGTGACGGAAAACAGAAAATCCAGAAATGTTGGGCGCCCACGAAACGATTATAGCAGGATACCAGCATGGAGGGGAAATTCGCTCCAAGTCCAATAAAAATCAAAATAGACGGGGAGGTGGCTACAAGCTACAGAAATTAGTCGTAAGGCGATAATTTAAATTTATATTTCTGAGCCTTCCGCTTCACTCCCATTCAGTTTTTATGGCGGTGGTAACATGGGACAACAAAGAGAAAACAACCGAATAAAGAGCAAACAACATGAGATCTGAAAAAATTAGGCAAGCTATGTTTGCCGCTTTTTGCGGAGAAATTAAAACAAACTTGCGTTCACCAGCGCCAATTCAAGCTCACAGATGTTCCAGCTGTAAGCGAGGAAGAGCGAGAGAGCAAATGGAAAGGAGCTTGAAATGAAAAGACCGCCTGCTACGGGACGCGGCTGAATAAAATATGAACGCGAGCCAAAGTTTGGAAACACCTTTCATGGCTTCACTCGGAGATTACGGCGGAAAACATATCGCGGAAGCGCCGCCCGGATTTATACTACTGTTTGCCCCCTTCAAATGTTTCTTGCAGATTTTATTTGTTTTGAATTTTCTCAAGTGCTTAGTTAAGTTGCCTTTGTTTTTCATTTTTTTCTGCTCCTGCGCTTTGTCTTCTGCACACTCACAACATTTCTCAAAATAACATTAAATGTCCCATAAAAATCTGGAGACTTGAAAAGTAGTAAATATAATTAAACCTTCATCTTAAAAAAATAATTTGTATATCCTTGCAGAGCAAAGGGTATTATAATTTCAGTCAGAAGTTTGCAACGCAGTTTGCAAGCCGAAGTTAGCTTCCTTTCTTGTTTAAATTTGCCATTCCCACTTTTTTGTAACCCAAGGTTTTTGCTCAAAAGTTGATATCTTGAAAACTATTAAAGATAAAATACAGATTATGTTGGCCATATGTACTACTTGCAACATCTACACAACTTCAAGTAAAGTTTAGCCGAAAAGGTTTTAAAACTGAGAAACTAGGTTGATGTTTTTGATTAAGAAAAGACTTTATGGCATCTGAGGGGTCCTTCGACACAAACCTCTGACTGAAAGGTAAATATCCTCTGCAGGAGTATTAAAATCGAATATTTTTTCGGGCTCACTTGGACTGTATATTAGACAATTTTTTTTCGCACACTGAAAATAGAATGGAATACGTATTGTAGAAATTTCACAAATAATATTTTATCCTTATCACCTTATCACATAAGTACTAAATAAGAGCCTTGAAAGCCAATATTACATTTTTTTCAAATTTGTTTTTATGTTTTTCTTCTTATTTCCCAGAAACCAACACCCAAGAAGCTCAAAAGATTATCTGCTCAGATAAGTTAGAATCAATGGTCCAATATTAAGATGGTTTGATTTTGTCAGATTTTTTGGTAGGTCGGCACTGAATTTGTGACGCAAAGTTAAGTTCTTTGTACTGTCGCACCATTTGCGACAAAAAAACAAAATATTTCTAAAGAAAATAGTTTGGTTTTTGCTAAAGCAAGATTGGCTGACGCGACTTTATTCAGCAATATAATAATATTAAATCTGGTTAATCAGGAAATTTTAAAACCTTGATCCCACAACATTTCCATCGTGTAAACTACTCGCGATACCATAACATTCGGAAAAACAAGCTCCCCCGATATTCGTTAAAACCTTACTTGGTGCAGCATCTGCCAGAGGGCACAACGGAAATTTTTAGGTTTTCCGTTTGTGAAAACTACATATTATGCCAATATAACCCAAAAAAAAAACACATAAAAACCTTCGTTAAATGAAACTGGTATTCACGAATACAGAAGCGTATCCCTTTATTAGCGAAAATAAAGAGCATTAGTGCTCTTTGACGCATAACATATAACCCTTTACTTAAGTAAATAATGTCATATAGAAATTCCAACTGCTAGTGAGTGTGAAAGTCGGCGTGGCTCACGCCATTCCTGCGTATTAATTACCAGAAGCCAAGTAATCAACCAAATAATTTGGTTACCACAAAGTTCCGCTTTACCATACTTGCTTTAAAGATTCTTTCGCTGCGTATTCACCATTAGAATCTGCTTGTTTCAATATTCTAGTTCTTAAAATTTTCAAGATGTTAAAGCTCAAACACGTCTTCATCCAAATGTATTGTTAAAAGTTTTGTAACATAAAAAGCGAGGGCTCCCCCGATTTTCGTGGTTTGTGGGCGTTGCGTAGTAGTGGGCGTTGCATAACAAGTTATTTTGGTGCAACCTTAACTGGGAAAGAAGCTCGTGGACCGTGGCCTTGTGCATCAGCAACTTGCCAGCAGAGCCTATTGTTGTGCACGTAATATACATAAAGCTGAAGCTATTTGTACCATAAATTTAAAGAGCTAACGTAAATCTTAGTGGCAATTATGTGTTTGGCAAACGCGCCGTATATGTAACGCGATTCTGATGGGTTCATAACTCATCTGCTTGCTTACCCAAGGCAGAGCGTGCCCAGTCTAAGGAACAGCCAAAACAGTCTACAACGCGCATCTTGGAGTTGTCTAAAAAGGCTGCTCGACAATTAGAATGCTCGTAGGATAGGGTCGGGGAATGACCGGCTAAGGAATTTAGATAGCTGTAATTTATCACGTTGAGATTGCAGCTTCGCATTCGCACGCAGGCGAAAAGGAGATAAGTCGCCATCCCAGCGGCTTCCGGCTTTGTTATTTGGGCTTTGGAGCCCGGACTGGGGATGGGTAGGACTCGGAATGGAAAAGGCTTAAACCACCCGCTGCGAGGTTGGGAAAAGAATAAAAGTAAGTACTACTGCAAGGCCCAGGGAGGGGGCTTGCGCAATTAAAAGCCCGATTAAAAACGCTCCCTTGTAGGCCAATTTTAGGGCCAGGTATAAGGTGAAAGGATTTATGAATTGCTTTACCATCAGTTGTAATGTTGATAAAAGTTAATTTATGTACGGAGTTTAATAAAGGCGAACCAAGGCCCATAAGGAAAAGTTAGAGTGTAAAGTAGACGAAAATGGGATGAAAATAAAAAAAATTTTTGAAAAAATAAGCATGATAATAAAAGCTTTTCTTGAAAAATACCTTTTTATAAATTAAATAAGTAATAAGGTTGTGGGTAAAACTCAAATCTTAAGTAACAGCAAATTTACTTGTTGTTCCTGAGATGAATATCATGTCCGATATTAGATTAGGCAATGTGAATTTAATTAAATGTTTAAGAGCCACTATATCAATGCCATATTAATATTCTTTATTTTTTTAGGTGGTTCTATGGCAACCTTATGATAAACTCGTTGTACATACCCGCAATAAAAAAACTT